AAGGACATAAAATACTGGGGCCATAGCTCACTGGTAGGGGATATGTTCAGCAAGGTCTTAAATTCAATCCTCATCACCACCAAGAGAGGGGAAGAAAGAGGGAGGGAGGGAGGGAGGGAGGGAGAGATCCCCAGAATTATGAGTCAGTGATTATATTTGTTCTTTCTAAATTTTACTGTCTTTGGCTTTCTGTGATAATCACACAAAATGGACTAGAACATAAATTTAAACAATAATACCAGAAACAGCACATCTAGTAGAAATTTTGGAAAAAAAATTGAAAATTTCTGACAGTAGAACATGAAGGTCAAAAGGCAGAAAATAAGGTGTTGAGGGGGAGGGAGAAAACCAACCCGAGAGTCACAATATGCAAATAATGTAGTGTCAGGAAAAGAAAAATGGAGGAAAGAGGAGCAGGAGGGGAAGAAAGTAATAAAATCTGGGAGTGGTGGGGCATGCCTTTAATCCCAGCACTCAGGAGGCAGGCAGATCTCTGTGAGTTCAAGGCCAGCCTTGAAAAAATAAACTATAAAAACAAACCAATCAAAAGGAACAACATATAGATGAATAAGATTGTTTGGGATGTTCTATATGAAATACACACACAAAAAAATCAACAAATAAAAAATGAGTTATTTGAGGAAGAAGCATAAAATTTTGCTTCTTGTTAATTAGCAGAGGTGAAAAACATTACCATTGAAATCTACCTGATGACTTTATACCCATACTCAGGTGCCAAGGATCTGTGACTAGTAATAATCAGATACATAGAGATTAGAGACGCATATGCAAACATCTGTTGGTAGCATTAAAAATTAGTTTTTCTGTATGGAACTATATTTTAAAATGAAATGGAGATCTTTTTTAAAGGTTAAAACCTCATTCAATTTTATGTCTCACAGGGTTTATACTGAGTTCAATATTGTATATCTGTATTAATTCAACTGTGAACCTAGAAACTTGCACCCACTTGTGAAAGAGATGTACTCTTGCAATGAAATGCTTCTTCTAATCATGTGGTTATTAAATAAATAATTAAAAAAAAAAAGGGAATAACATAAGGCCTAGGGAGATGGCTCCTGGTTAAGAATACTCAGTATGAACGTGTGAGGACCTGAATTCAAATCTCCAGTACCCGCAGAGATGGCCCTGCATGAAATGAAGAATGCTGGGGTTTCTTAGGAGGACAGCAAAAATTCAACCTCTATTGTAGTGACAGCTTGCACAACCCTGAAAAACTACTAAGAACCATTGAGCCAAGCCATAGACTTTAAAGAGCTATGTGAACCCCGGGTAAAGTCACACATGAGCCAAAATGTAAAAGCTGCTTTTGGGAGATTTTGGGGTGGGGTTTATTTATTTGTTTGTTTTTGGAGACAGGGTCTCACTATGTAGCCCTGGTTGGCCTTGAACTCACAAGGATTAGCCCATCTCAGCCTCCCAAGAGCTGGGATTAAAGGTGTGTAATCCCACTATGCCAACAAAAGTATTTTCTTAATTTGGTTATAAAGCTCACATTAAGATAGTAAAAGTAGTGAATGAAGTGACAACAATTTAAATGTCACTATTTTTAATCTAAAAAAGTCAACATCCATATCTTATCATGTTCAAACTTCAGTCCCTGTTAAATGTGACATGTCACAGATTAATTCAAGCTCAGTACATTTCTTTGCAAGTCTTCCAGGAGAAAGCACCAGACAGTGAATGACAATAACAGAAAATGCTAACATCTGTCCTATCTTGAAATTCATTCAGTATCAAAACAGTCTGACAGGCATTGTCCATAATTTCAAAGAAGTAACTTGTAACATTAAGGATATCTAGTAGCGACACTCTCTGAGCAGCTGACACTTGATTCTCCAACTGATTTTCTTTCCTCTAATCATGTTGCCTCCCCAAGAGGGCCAAAGTAGAAATCAGAAACCTTGAATTCAAGGTTATATCAGACTACCCCTTCCCTGCTGTTTGCTAGCCGAGATTTTCCATCTATGTATCTAAAGTGACTAGAAGAAGAGAAAACTAAAGTACATGCTGGGAACCAAACCTGGGTCTTCTCAATAGCAGCCAGTGCTCTTAATCACTGAGTCATCCCTCTAGCCCAAAGTAGTTACAATTCTTTTTAGTGTTCATTATGTCTTAAATTTCTAATGATGAGTCAGGCGTGGTGGCGTACACCTTTAATACCAGCACTTGGGAGGCAGAGATCCCAGCACTTGGGAGGCAGAGGCAGGCGGATCTCTGTGAGTTCAAAGCCAGCCTAGTCTACAGAGTAAATTCCAGGCCAGCTGGGGCTAGAGGGAGACCCTGTCTCAAAAAGACCGGAAAAAAAAAAACAAAAAAAAAACATTTCTAATGATGAAAACAAATTTTCAACATTTAAAAAACAACTATAAGTTAAAACTAAATAGTTGAATTGTCACAAGAATGATCCTATAAGGGTTTCTTACTGTTTAAATCTCTGAAGCTAGTTTGGGTCCCCCTTTCCCTACCTAACAGAATTGTGCTCTGTTTAGAAATACATGGATTGGTAATACTGAGCATAAAAACAGAACTACCTGTTTTTACATCATAACACCACTAAACCAAATGGAAACAGAAAAGCCAGGAAGGCAAAAGCTCGTGGTTTTCATCCAGGATTATGACTGCACTGTTTAACAACAACAGTTTTGATAGCTCTGCTTTGACCTTTGAGATGTTCTTGACTAATCATTAAATCCTACCCACTCTCAAAGACCATTATCATGACTGTGCTCCATCATTTAAAAGGTAATTCTAAAAGATTAATGACACAAGAAAATCCTCTCAAACACCATGGCATGTCTTAAATTCTTAACTATAAAACATAATAAGGTCAGTTAAACTATGTGCGTTCACTGTGTGCTAGAAGCTGTGCTAGGAAACTCAGATGTCTTGTTTTATTGAACCTTATTACTGTCCCTTTAGATTTTTATGGCCATCCTTAAAGGTGTGGAAACTAGTGCTTACCTTTCCTGCAATACCCAAGATTGAAAGCAGTGAATAAAATAGCTTGCAATCTAATGTATCTATCTACCCACCCACCCATCTTCCATCTAAGAATTACCTGCTGACTAGATGAGTCTAGGCACTCATTTGTACATTAAAATGGCAGCTCCAGAGCCCAGATCCTAACTAGTGAATGAATGTACTTGACGGATACGATTGTTGTTCACGAAAATTTTTAAATTATTTTATTGTTTAGATGAGTAATGAAGATAGAACATATCTCCACCCTGAGCATTAACCAATACCACAGAAATGGTGTGTGGCTTTGGGGCCAGTGGTTTGGATGAGGACATGGTATGGTATGTGTTAGTATTGACTCTGTGCCACAGGAGAGAACTTGAAGTTGTTTCCATGAGGAAAGAGACCCAGGCACATGTGTGCACAACAAAATGATGAAGGCGACTGTCTTGTCTCCACTTGAGCCCAGCTTGATCTGAACACTGAAGGTTCTAAGTAATGGGGGGCCAGACACAGAGCTCTGGTCTGGATTGCATAACTTGATTATCACAGGCAGTAACAGTGATAGAAGTTAAATGGGTTCAAATCCCTCCATGAAGCACTCTGTTCAACCAGGTAGGAACAGAGGAGACAAACTCAAGGGGACCAAGGATCTGAGACATGACTTGTGACCTTTAAGAACAGATAGGACACTAAGGAGGGTGGAGATCCTGTAGTGGGGCCCAAAGCAAGTGACAGTTACTTGTTTACAGTGTCCTATTACAGTTATTCATTCCTTGGTATTCAGTAAGTATAAAAACCGAAGAGTGTGAAAACCGGGAAGGGAAAATCAGAACATTAACAAAACTATCTAATTTCAGGTTGCTGCTACTGCCTTTAAATTCTCTGCATTTTAGTGAGCATTATAATTTTGTTTTTCTGTGTTTTGCTGTTTTGTCTTGTTTTGTGAGACAGGGTCTCATTATGTCACCGTGGCTGGTCTGGAATTTGCTATGTAGACCAGGCTGGCCATTAAACTCACAGAGTGCTCTGACTCCTGAGCACTGAGATTAAAGGTGTGCACCACCACATTCAGCCTTATAATTTCTTATAAAAAAAAAAAAAATCAAGGTTTTGTAAAACAGTTCAATTTCAGTATAATGTAAAATGCAATTTCTAGATTCAATTTCAAGCATAAACTAAAAATCTATCTCAGACCTCTCATTAGCCTGTTCTACAAGCCAGATAACTAACTGCTCGTCTCCCTAGAATTAAGAGTATACTTCATTAATGATATCACATGGCAATAAAAAATTATGAAAATTAAGTTTCAAAAGAAATTACACCTCCAAACCCATACTGCCCTGTCAGAGTTAGGGTGTCAGACTCGTTCAACCTCATTTTAGCATTTTAGTACAAAGGCAGAAAGCGCATGTTCATTAGCAGACTTCATTTTTAAAATTTAGTCTAGCAGACTAAAGAAAACAGATACACTGCTAAAGATGAAAGTTCTGAGCCATGCACATAATCCCGTCCTGTCACCTATACAGTCGCCCACTCTATAGTGTACAACTCACATGGACTTTCATATACTGTGACTTCCTGGAATGATTAAATAAGGAGCACTATAAGAGCTAAGGTGTCTCATGCCAGGCATGGTGGCACACGCCTTTATTCCCAGAAGCAAGCAGATCTCTGTGAGTTCCAGGCCAGCTAGGGCTACAGGGAAACCCTGTCTCAAAAAAGTTAAGATGTCTCTACATCTTTAGACGTTCTTTTCTTAGGTCAGAGAAATGGGTATCCTTAAATATAATCCGAAGGCTTGTTTCCTGTTTTGTTTTGAATCTGAATTGCAACATAATTCAGCTATTAATCCTTAATGATGTTATTTATGAAAAATAAGTATCAAAAAATCTGTTCTGGATACCAACCAGAGCCAAGTTTAACTTAACTATGTTCATGAAAAACCACTCCATTAGCATGAGAAGATTTTCCAGTCATGTCAGTCCCACATTCCAAAGCTGGGGTCGCAGTCTTACCTGGATATCTGATGTCCAGCATAGAGAAGCAGAGCAGTCAAAAAATATAAATAAAGCTGAGCCAGATGCTGTCTGGGTAACGTGAGCAGCACAACACTCAGGATGTAACCTGTGGAAGAAATGGAGAGACAAATACAAAACGATCCAGTTCAGCCTCCCAGGTAGTTAGACTCCTCTTTTCAGTGAGCTATCACCAAATCAAGGCTTCTTTTTAATTTCACTAACCAAGTGCATTCAGCATAGTAATACCACTGTGGGTTCTTTTTTTTTTAAATATTTTATTTATTATTTTTATTTTATGTGTATGTGTGTATTGCCTGCAAGTAGGTAAATGCACCTGTGTTGTGCAATGCCCACGGAGGACAGAAGATGCTGTCGGATCTCCTGGAACTGGAGTTACAGGCAGTTGTTAGCTGCCATGTGGGTGCTGGGATTAGAACTCAGGTCTTCTGCAAGAACAGTCAGTGTTCTTAACCACTGAGCCATCTCTCCAGCCCCACCACTGTGGGTTTTTAATGGCACTCTTTCTATCATCTTTGTGGTCAAAGGTGACACATGGGTGCACTGTGGCTCCCCCACCTTTCCTTGATGACCCCTCAGCTTTACACTGACACTGTCACCATCTCTCCAGACCCCAGGAAGAACTGGTCTCTCTCTCTCCTCTCTCTCTCTCTCTCTCTCTAAGTTCCTCTCTCCTATACCTTCCCACCATTCTGAAGCCTGACACCAGTCCTTACTAGTTTCAAAGGCTGTGAGGGCTCCCACTACCCTGGAGGGAAACCTCAAAACATTTCTCTTCACAGAGATTTCTCCTTTTCTTATTATCTATGTTTTCACACCACTGTTTCAAACCACCTGTATCCAGTGCCTCCGGTTTTCTAACCATCTACTTAACCCTTTCCCCCTCTTCAGCCTACAGCCCTGTTATTACCTTTCAACTGTAACTAGCCTGGCAGGCAACCACATCCTGCTGACAGCAGCATCTAAAGCAAACCCTCGAAATGCTGCTATGCTCTGGCTGAGACCTGGATCTTCTCTTGATATCTAATTCCTCTTTTCAGTCTCCCCACTGAATGCTGGAAATGCGGTTCTTGAATAACTGCTCTCCTCACGATAAGGATCTGACACAAAGCACTTACTTTCTCTTTCCATATTGATATTCCTTCCAGATCCATGTTACTAGGTAAGTTACCAAAGTTCTCTTGTATACAAAAAAACTGCAAGTCTTACTCTAAATGGACATCCAATAATCATAGGACGCTGGAGATACAGTCCATTTAAGTGTTCATATACTCAAGAGGTACAAAAGGAGCTCCCTTCCTGCCCCTCAACAAAGTAACATTGTTTTTTGTGTTTGTTTTTTTTTTAATGACAGAGTCTCCCTGTAGCCCCAGCCTGGAACTTACTATGTAGAAGCTGGCCTTGATCTCCTGAGTGCTGGGATTAAGGGCAATCACCACACCCAGCTTCAACCTCTTTACTCTTAAAATCCTATTCTTTTACTTTTGAGTAAATATGTGTCATTATTCGCTCTGAAAACTTAACTAGCAACCCAAAATAAAGCTGATAATGAAGGCATTAACCCTACTTAATTTATAATTTTAAGTTGGCTAAAAGCATTTTTAAATACTATACTGCTTGAAACATTACTAATTACTAATAGCTTTTATTATCTAGAGATATGGTAGAACTGGGGGAAAACTGAGGGCCTGGATTAAGACAGTAGTTTGGGGTGCTGAGTTGGCCGTCAGCCGTATACTACATATTTAAACAGCTCTAACTTGGGTCTCTGGTGATGAAAACAAGGAAGCGGAAGAGGCTGTGATCTCTCCAGCTTGGGTAATCAAGAAGCTTCTGCTATTAAACAGTAAACACAGAAGGAAGAGGAAGTCTATGGGAGGTAAAGTGATGAGTTCAGTGACTAAGTGTCCAGGCTGCTTAAGTGGAGGCAACTAACTAGTGGTTAGAAGTGCATTCCTTAACAATTAGGTACTAGCCACATACTGGGGAGGTAGTTCAGAAGAGGACCTGGGTTTGGTCTCCAGCACCCAGGCAGCTAACAACCTTCAGTAACTCCAGTTCCAGGAGATTCCAATGCCCTCTTCTGACCACCAGGCACATACAAGGTACATACATGCAGACACAAACACACATAAAATAAAAATAAATAAATCTTTAAAAAAAATAGTAAGAAATATTGCATTTCTTAAAGCTTCCTTTTGAATCACTACCAACTCTCCAAATAAGGTCAAATTAGAAGGGGTCAGACGCCTGGAAAAATACCTCCCATTATTTATAATTCATCATACTGAAAGTTAAAATGTTTTCTCCTGCCTTCCAGTGTTACTCTAGTAAAATAAATCCACCATTGCCTGCTTTCCTCTGGTTCCAGCAACTCCTGTGCAAGGTATCAAACTACAAAACAAACACACACACTCATGAGTGATTATATCAGTCAACTCGATGGGCCTGAAGCTTATTTTGCTCAAATTCAAAAACACACAAAGATATAAGAAAGAATGTAGTCACTAAAGGGTTGGAAAAGACACGTCGACTCTTACCTACATAGTGCATATTGAGAGCCAGATACTTATACTGGAAAAGAGGGTTGTTGTTGAGGCTACTTCTTTGGATCTGCTGGAAAAACGAGCTGACGTCCCACCTGTACAGGACATCCAAAAGCATGATGCTCGGCACCCTCAAGGCCACATTCAACACTGCCTCTAGCTTCTCCTTTGCAGCCATCGTTTTTGTTTTTGTTGGAGCAAACCTAAAAGTCAGAAGACACAAGATGTGAATATAAATCAACACAAAGCATCTTTAGATAGCCTCTTAAGAAGCTAATGGGGGACAGTGGGTGCACTGGTGAGGTGGCTCAGTGGTTAAGAACACTGGCTGTACCCAGAATCTAGCCTACTCTCTGCTGGTCTCTTGCTCACTCCAATTCCACTCCCTTCTGCTCAGAGGTATATCCCACCCCCCAAGTTTTATTATTTACGCACACACACACACACACACACACACACACATACACACACACATATATTTTTTTTTTGAGACAGGTTATCACTCCGGCACCTTTCTCCTAAGTGCTGGGATTACAGTCATGGGCTGTCATACCTGGCTAAATTTCTTTTTTTTTGGTGATAGGTTCTCATATAGCCCAAGCAGACCTTGAAATCCTGATTCTCCTGCCTCCATCTCTGTTGGAATTACAAGTTTATACCATGATGCCTGGCACTCTGTCAGTTTAAAAATAAAATTTGTGTATGCACACGTATGTCTGTGTGTGGGTATGTGCACATCAGTGCAGGTGCTCAATGAGTCTAGAAGGCATCAGATTCCCTAGAGTTGGAGCCATAGGCAGTTGTGAGTCATCTGATGTGGGAGCTGGAAATAAACTCAGGTCCTTTGCAAGGGAAAAAAGAACACTGGCTTGCTGCTCTTCCAGAGGACCTGGGTTCAATTCCCAGCACTCACAGGGTGGCTAACAACTGTCCCTAACTCCAGTTCCGGGGAATATGACAACCTCTTCTGGCCTCTGCAGGCACTGCATGCACGTGGTGCACTTACATACATGCAGGCAAAACACTCATACACATAAAATAAATAAATACTTTTTAAAAAGAAACTAATAGATTATCACAAAAATTCAAACTCCTTGGCCATCTCTATTATGTTTGGATATTTATCTAACAAACCTGACACTGCCCTGTCAGAATCGCCCAAAATGGAGTCAGACTAAATGTTCACCCTTCAAAACTGAAAGACACCACCTTACACAGGTAAGGCCAGCCAGGGCCTTGCACAGGTAAGGCTCCCTGGCAGTGAGCTACAGCCTGGCTGAATAATGAATGTATAATCCATAACAAAGAAAAGACACAGGGAGAAGAAAATGCTACTTGCAACACTGTTTCCTTTAAAAGGTAGTTTAAAATTCTGACAGTCTCTTCGAAGTAGGAAAATAAGGCTTATCAAATGCTTCCCAGACAGCAGACAAGAAAGGTCAAGGAAAACACCAAGCAAAAGAACCAGGCACTGAGCATGGTCTTTGCTTAGACACCAATGGCCAGTAAGAGAAAGAAAAAGGAAAAATATGGGGTTGGAGAGGTGGCTCAGTAGTTAAGAGAACTGGTTGGCTACTCTTCAGTAGACCCACATTCGAATCCTAGCACCCACATGGTGGCTAACAACCATCAGTAACTCCAGTTCTAAGGAATCTGATGCCTTCTTCTGCCTCTATGGGCATTGGAAGGCACAGATGCACTTACGTATATGCAGGCAATACACTCATACACATAAAAGTAATAAATAAAATATTCTTTAAAAAGGAAAAAAGTAGAGGCTGGAGAGATGGCTCAGTGGTTAAGAACACCAACTGCTCTTGCAAAAGACCTGGGTTTGAATCCTAGCACCCACATGGCAGCTAACAACAGTCCATAACTCCAGTTCCACAGATCTGACAGCCTCTTCTGTCCCCTGAGGGCACTGCACAACATGGGTGCACTTACCTACATGCAGGCAGTACAGGCATACACATAAATAATAAATAAAAATTTTAAAAAGAAAAAAAGGCACCAGAAAGCAGTTACCAGGACCTTCAAGGGACAATTCGATTCAATAGCTACAAATAAATCCAAAAAACAGGAACAGGGCAAAAAAAAGAAGGTAAAGGATAACTTCAAGAGTAAAGAGAATTCTAGACTCTTGGCTCTGACAATATCCTTTTAAGAATTTTGCTGAGAAAGCTAAACACATTTCTAGCTTTGGCAGTAATTTCAGACATTACAGGATAAATGAAAACATTTATTTCCAAGGGAAATTATAGTGACAGATTGCTAAGCTATGGTTAAATATTTGTCAGTATTTCCATCTTACCCTCCAATTTTCCTGATTTCCTAGCTCTGACAATTTAAACTCAAAAACAACTCTGCTTAGCACACCATTCATATAAGTTTTTAATGACCATATGTCAATCATTTCCATAACACAAATGTTTTCATATATAGACATACTACCAATAATGTATAATTATTATTTTATGGATAAATACTATAATTCCAATGACTTTAAATGAGTAAGAGCTTTCAATCATTTTCCTATACACACAAAAATACTGTGAAAAAAATCAAATAGTTCCGTCCTAAGGAGAAAACTAGCTTGGAAAAATAAAATCTCTAATGAATGAACCATTACTACAAATCATTCCCAGGAACCAAACTCCAGGGAAGCCCTTGATGTCACAGGTAACCCTGGAGAGCCACGGCTTCACTGTCTGCGGTGTCAACTGACACCAGCTTGAAAACACTGAAAAGAAATGATGTTTTCACTGACTACATACAGACTTTTCCTTATCACTACTCCCTAAACAATACAGTAAAAGATTATTTATGTATAAAAACTAGCACTTACACCGTGGTAGGCACCGTAAGTAATCTAGAGATATAAAGTATGTGGGGTGGGGATGGGAGGGGCAGTCAGATGGCTCAGCCGATGACAGCAGAGCCTGACTACCTGAGTTTGATCCCTGGAACTCCGATGGTAGGAGAAGAGAACGAACTCCCAATAAGCTGTCCCCTGACACACACCTAAACATGTACACATGTACCCACACACACGTTAAATAAAATTTTTTAAAAATTGAAATGAAGGCATACAAGATGGTATTCATAGGTTACATGTCACCTCTGAAAGAGACTTGGGGTTCCACAGCCTTGGGTATCTGAGGGAAGTCCTGCAGCCAAATCCTAGGAAACAGAAGCACTGCATCTCTGTCAACCTTCACACTATACTGGAAGAGCACCTTTTTTTCATATTCCTGAAGCCGATATTAATCACTACCACTGTTTTTATAACAAAGGGGCATGGGTACTACTGAGTTAACACGTGCAGTTAGTGTATTTCATATAGCCTGAAGCCTTCCTCTGTTTTCAACGTTATTTTAAAAACACCCATTTCCAACATTTATTGTAGGTCTAAAAGAGGGAAGAGAAAATTTTAGCAAATAATCCTGTTGTAGAAATCTAGACCTGATAGCAAGTGGGAACACGAACACACAAACACACACACAAACACACACACACACACACACACACAGCAATTCTCCCTAATCCTTAAAAGAATCATCTCTATTTCAAAAGAAATCCATTAGTCAAAAGGCACATGTCCCTTGGTTAATTCACACCCACAGCTCCTGTCTCACAAGTAACAAAAAGAAAACCTTGGGTCCCTAAAGCTATCAATGCAGAAGAATAGCAAAGAGAGAGAAAAGATTCCCAAACTCTACCTCACAATTAACTCAAGGTCAAATGTCTGAAGGAGGGGCTGGAGAGATGGCTCAGAGTTTAAGAGCACTGGCTGCTCTTGCAGAGGACCTAGGTTCAGTTCCCAGCACCCACATAGCAGCTAAAGACTGTCTTTAACTCCAGTTCCAAGGGATCCAACATGCTCTTCTGGCCTCTGTAAGCATTGTACCAATGTGGTACACTACATATATGTAAGCAAAACACTATATATATAAAAAAAAACTTAATAGCAAATTGATTACTTAATGAATGCTTCATTTATTTCTGGACCTGAGTGATACTGTTAAGTCATTAGCAGGACAGTCATATCTAAGCACATGAAATACTTAAAATACATAAAATCAAAAGGAAAAAACTCACACTTTTCAGAACCATATAATTTTGAACTTTCCTGAAGTAGACACACAATAGGTGGTGATTACCACAAGTGAAAGCCACACACTACATTCTGGCACTAGACACTAAACCAACATCTAAATAAAATTCTTAAATATTACATTTGTAGATACTTAAAAATCACTCACACCTGCCAAACTGCTACACTACAAGAATATGAAATAAAAACAGAGCCTTCTGGGCCTGTGAGATGATTCAGTGTATAAGGTGCTTGCACCAAACCTGAGGAGCTGAGTTTAATCCCTGGGACCCAAATGGTGGAGGATGAGAATTGACTATCACAAGTGGTCCTCTGACTTCCACAGGAGCCCTGGTGCCCAGCATATATGCCCCCCCCGACACACACATAATGATAATCAAATGTCTCAGCTGTGCCTGGTAGTACAGGCCTTTAATCCCAGCATGACCAACCTGGTCTATATAACAAGTTCCAGGTAAGCTGGAGCTACAGGGAGACTGTCTTTAAAAAAAAAATAAAAATAAAGGAAATCTCTATAATGATTGGTTATAGTTTGGTTTTTTTTTTTTT